GCTAACTTCTTTGGAGGCTTTTACAGACTTCCCAACTATATATCATTGAACAAAAGCAAACTGTTGTAAAGTTCTAACATCCCAACAATTTAGTAAATCCTAAATCCTAACCATTCAGTGAAAAAAGTGAGAGAAAGTTAAATACTGTATAAACACACCATCATAGTATTCCTACATCAAATACATTTATTTGGAAAAAACAGTCAGTATTTCAGACTTAAGTAGTGGATTAGGTCGGTTAGTGGAAAGAACATAAAGTGATTTCACAGGTGAAGTTACTCCACAGGGAAGATACTGCATGATGGCATTTTTCCTCCAGTCTGATTCATCTTAGATCACTCTACAGCATAATTTCAGATTTCGTGTAGTCAAAACAGGGTGACTACCCAGCAGAATTGCAAAATGATATCTGTACATATAGAAGGTCAAATTCTGGAATGAAGGAATTTTTTTTTGATGTGGGTTTTTTTGTTTGGTTGGTTGGTTTTTGTTGGGTTTTTTTATTATTTTTAAACACAGGGACTAATGCAAAGTAAGAGTTGTAGAAGCTGGGATCTGCCTCTTCTTCCCTCACAGCTGAGCAATATTTCATTCACAAATCTGCTTCACAAATTTAGCATGGGGTTTTTGTTTGTTTGTTTGTTTCTTTGGCTTTTTTTTGGAGAGGGGAAGAAGAGGAAGTTGGATCGTTTTGTTTGTGTTTAAACACAACATATCAGATATATTCCAATGATTTTGTGCAATAAAACATTGGCTTCGTCACCTTTTCTGACATCAGTGTACTAATCTAGCAACGTGCCAACTGCTGAGATATAGGTCATAGTGAAATTCCTAGCAAATGGATGTTTGCTGGTATTTTCAACTGGCATCAAGATTGGACGCTATGGATAGCCAGAACAGTGATTTTTAAGCCCTTCTGTCTTTGTGAGCCTGTATTAGAAACATTAACTATAGCAATGCCTAAGTAGTATCTACAAAAAATAAGGTTTATTGCAGTACATGCTGAACATTAAAATGACATCTACGTTAGCAAGCAGTGTGGACCAGCTGAGCAGATCCGTAGAGAAAGTGCTGGTGCCGAGGACCTGATGTCTGCACAATTCACATTTCATGGCTTCTGTTTTCTGGCTGGCTGGCTTTTTTAATTTGGAGTATCTCTAGAGAGGGTGCATTACACACCAAATTACTTCAGATTAAAAAGCTCAGCCTGCTCCCGAGTAGCACTGATCAAGAATTGAGCTGGCGTGCATTACTGTTCAATTTCCAGCAGCAGAGCAAAAGGAAGATGTCTTAAAGTGCTTCATTCACCAAGAGTCTGTCCCTGTTGTGTCTCTGACTGAACCGGTGTCCCAGACACAAGAGAGTGCAGTTCAGCAGATGAGTTACTGTAATCCTATTATAGCATATTGCTCTAACACTTTAATGTAGTAATGTGTTTAATGTAACACAGTAATGTAGTAACATAGACTTCTATAAAACAGCTTGACATAAAAATAGCTGGGGCCAAACAAAACCAGCTATTCTTGCCATAAAATTGTGAGGCCAGTTTTCCCAAGCTTTTCAGCAAGGCTTTAAAGGCCTGTGGACAAAGAGAGGGACATTTTTCAAAGAGTTAAAGATATAAAAGTATTTCCACGACATTCATTTTTCTATCAAGTGTACGCAATTTTATTTTCCTTCCCCAAACAGCTGACCTTGCAAACACAGCTCAGGTTCTAATCTCCCCAAATTACTGCAAGTTTATACTGCTTTCTCAAGCAAGCGTCCAGCACACTGAGCCAGGGTCTGACAGTACCTGTGCAACACTATTGACTACGAACAGCTATACAAGGAAACATAATAATCCATGATGATTGCATTCAAGATTTTTTCTAAAAAAAAGGACAATTACAGTAGCTCTATTTTCAAATTAAGATGGTGCTACTCTAGCAATCTATTGCAATGCTTATTCTTCAGTGTAAGTGACATTGTGTGTAACACACTGTTTTGGGGCAAGGAAATCAATCCTCCAACTATTTCAAACTCAGTAACCATGCCTAGCTCTCAAATAATTTTATAATGAAGAACTAAAGTAGATTGCAAGCAAAGTTCTGGAAGTGTGACCTGTACTCACTAAATGCAGAACACCTGCAAAATTTGTTTTGACATAAAAACCAAGGAAGTACACACAAAACCAGTATTGCAGTTAACTACCAAGCATTAATAAAATGGCTTAGACCATAATAAATTTCTGTCAAACTACATTCTGCAACCTAATTTTATATTGGGTTTTGTTACTTGCAAGATGTTGATATGGGAAAAGAGGATACATCTTAGTATAACTGAAATCTTAACAGACTAATCAAAGAATTATTATTAGTCCAGATCCAATTATTGCAGAAAAAAGTGAACATTACTATACATAAAAAAGCGTCTCAATAATAGTAAAATTGCTGTACATACACTTCTTATTGCCTCACTCCTTTTCCTGGTGTTATGCTTACCCTTCAACTGACCCTTTGGATCTCAAGGCTGATAGCATCCATTTGTGCCAGGGACATATGGCAGGTCATCAGCATCCCAAATCCGAGTAGGACGTTGACAGTTTCTTCCTCCTTAATCGACTTGGGATCACTTTTATGTTTGATAACACACTTGTAACATCTTACTCTTTCTTCACCTGTCTGCATGCTCACAATTACATCTAATTTTACTATCTATGGTGCATTTTACATGTGTTACATACTTTTTATCTCCATTATACTCAAAACAAGTTTTGTCTAGAGCCAGGATTGCATTTCTTCAACTGACTGCTGGGGAGCACTTTGCAACCCAGAGGTTTCCAGTGCCAGCCCTGCCCCATGTCTTGACATCCCAGGTACTCCTCTACACTGCATCCTGCCCTGCCACTTGAGGCTTCTGTTACCATGTCAGGTCTCTCTTCCTCTACACTATCTTATTCCATTAAAGCCATAAATACCCCATTTTACACAGAATAACTACTTGCTGCTGTCATCTATGTAAAAACTTATGTGTATACCATAGAAAAAAAAAGTACATGTAAAAAAATTAATCATACCCACCTGGTCATTAACAAATTGCTGTTATAGCTAAACCAAGTTAAAAGAAAGCACCAGGTGAGTCAAGGGAAGCTCAGACAAAGCAAACCTGCTAAGCCTCAGTCATGAGGCTGTAGCAAGTTTACTCATGCACAGTTTACTGTGACCTATCACTAGCAATGGTAATAGCTGGGATAAGCTTAAATAGCCAGAAATTCACCCCCTTCCCCTTTCCCCCAAAACAAGCATTTGCAACAGACTAGAATTGGACATTCTTTTTACTACCAAAAAAAAAAAAAACCAAACAAATCTGCAAGAACCAAGTTAAACATTAATGTCTGGAATGCTATTGCTCTGAAACAGTTTGTTGCCACTGTACAGCACCTGTTTGCCATAAAATTTGAGATCTATACAACCTTCTTAGTTGCACACCTATGAAACAGTAGTTCTAGATATATTAGAGAATAAAATTAAGTATATTACAGAAAACTTTAGACGTCTGAAATTAAATTCTAATTCACAGTAGCAGCATCTTGACAAGGGTCCCTCCCTCTGTGCATTAAATTTTTGCCTCATTCTTAAGTTATTTGTAATTAAAGTCTAAGCAACACCTGCAGAGCTTAATTAGCCTTAAAACATATCCAAAGTAATGAGGCCAGTAAGAGTTTGAGAATAGAAATATATACTGCACACTTGTATCAGTTCTGTTCAGTGGTTCAGAGTGATTGTTTTGTTGATTAATGATTCAAAAATCTTTACAACTGATTTTCAGTAGAAAAACAATCTTCAAGATGTCTCTGTCCCACTAATTTTTTCTCTTTTTAAAATCTTCATGCAGTGTAAGGGTTTCTATTCTAGTTAGTCAGAGCCACTTCCATGGAGATTAAGGAAGTGCAATTGCAGGACTGACCCTTTGGACAGGTGGAGGTTGTTCCAGGATGTCTTTGGTTGATAATTCCACCCCCCTCCTAGAAAAAAGCTGGGAGAGTTGAAGAACCTAGTAATTTCAGAAGAGACAATTTTGACTGTAAAGACAATCAAACAGCAATCTAGTACTATCTGCATTTTGGATACAAATTTAAACAAGGTAGTTCTGAAATAGCATACTTTCTCTCCCCGACAAGTCTGATGACTTCCTCCTGGAAAGGCTGACTATGTATTCTATGTATCTACAGGCATTTCTGCACTAGGAGCAAAGACAAGCTAGGGAAGTTATGCTGGTTCTTCATTTCCCTATACCATGCAGTTTTACATCCTAAAATTAATTGCAAAACATCTCATCGATAAGTTGATCTTCTATAGCTATTGTAGGACACGAAATCTGACAGGATAATTCAGCTGCTGGTCCAAATTCTGATCTAGCTACTGCAGCTATTTAAAAAGACCATCCAGCTCCAGTCTTTTAGTTAATGTGAAATTAAAGAAATATTAGAAGTTGGGTAACAGGAGTTTATACCTTATATAAACAGTGGCAAACCTAGCTTAAAAATTAGGTGTCAGATTTTTAGTTTCCATGCAAGTAGATTTCAAAATTTGCACAAATTTATAAAACTGGTTTAGCATAGTGATATACAACCACTCTAAAAATATTAAAATACCGTCTATGCAACATATGCTCATCACTATTAGACAGTAGGTACATAAACTGTTAAATTTATTACAAAATAGATTTCCACCACTACATACCAGTCTCCAAAAGGTTTTTATTTATCACGCCAGACTAGTAGATATTATAAAAATAAACCATTATTTAATATTTGGTTATTTTTATCATAGTTTTCTTTTTTTTTTGAAACAGAAAACATATATAGAAAAAAAAATAGTTTTCTATGGATGTCCCACAAAGCATCAACCTCTGCATTTGTTCTATTGTTGCAGAAAAATGAAGCATCTCCAAGATAAGGGAATACAGTCTTAGCAGCAGCCTGTTTTTCTTCCCTTTAAAACGAAACTTATGGAAACTTAGTAAGGCCTGAACTGAGAAGGATGGCTATCTGGAGGAGGTGGAGGAGGCGGTGGCGGCAAAAATGGGTATGATGAGTTGTATGTGTTCGGGCCTGTCCAAATCATATTCAGATCTGAAGGCGGAAGGTGGAATTGATGCATCTCATTAACAGAACCAAAAACTGGAGGAGGAAAGGGATACTGTTGCATCATTGGATTTTCTTTTCTATGAGGTTGTGGAAACACTGAAGATTCCTGATGTATTCTGTTGTCTGAAGAGTATAGCTGTGGTGGTCTTACTTGTGGTCTCAAAAAACCTGGAGGGCCTTGTGGAGGAGGAAATGGATCCCTGGAGAACCCTCTGCCACGGTATCCCCTTGAATAACTTGAAGCAGGCTGTTGCGTTGACTGATGAAGTCCTTTATTCTCACCTAAAAAAAAAAAAATACACACAACAAAACCAAAAAACCCCACACAGTTTTCATATTATTTTGGAAAGATTAAGTTTAGTCCTCACAAATCTTTCAAGCTGAAGTCAAGGAAATTTGAAAAGTAAGCTTATCAACACATAACACTGGCAAATAATACATAAACAACAAAATAATACTGTCAAGTCTACTGTTTAGTAACTCATCTTGATTTATTAGAGTAATATAGAAAGAATGATCCTGAGGGTTGCAAATTCAGTCATTAAAAAAGAAATTTTACTTTCTTCCCCTCCAGGAATTTTCATTTGTATTAATGAATCACAGAAACACTCAAACTGTGAGTATTTTGGAAGCTTTGGTTTAGAACAAGATTTAAAAGCAACACATTTTAAAACTGAAGATAAATCAACACTGCATTACACTAAAGTGGTATATAGCTTTCAGACCTGAGTTGATATTACAGCACAGACACAGGACACAAGAAATTATTCAAACTTGAATTAATAAAATTAACTTACTCTATCAGAAAAAAGGCAGCCTGTATCTTTAGCCAATTAGCTTTCAGCATTCATCTTTCAAAGATGAATTTTTCCCTGTACAGGTCACTGTAAGCATATATTTAAGGTTCATAACAAATGTACTGCCACTTCATATAAACACCATAACAGTATTAATGGGGTAAGTGCTATAAAATTAAGAGCGCAGAGATATTAAAAATGTTCCAAAGAGCTGCCAAGATACTCAAAAGGCTTTAGTACTTAAACTGAAACATGATCTCTAAAGGATTTTAGGGCTAGAAGCAAAAAGATATTTAGGGACATAACACTGCATAAAATCACTGAATTTTAAGAACCTATGCGTACCTAATCCTTGGCACTAGACTACATAGAAACATTTTCACCTTTGAAAAGCTAAGTCTGGAAAGGTAGTTGGATACCAAAATTCCTACTCATTTTCATGGGGGATTAGGACTTAGACTCCTTTGGTGCATGCAGTCCTCTCAGAAGCACTGACGCGGAAGTACTTGAGTGAATATTTTTGTCCTTTCTTCTCCTATCAAAGACTATAACAATGCGCCAATTTTAATATACTCAAAAAAACCCAGTTCAAGTTTTATGAAGATGCAACCAAAACTCCAGCTGAGACTGAGTTTGTGCCTCAATTTGCCAGATATCCTCATTGCTGAATTCCACAGCCAAACTAAATTGTACACAATGTCAATTTATACCATGTTATGATTTGCTGTGTTTTTCTGTGTGTTAGGTAAACAGAGAGGTTCTCAGTGGGCTACACAAGTAACAGTTATTTCAAAGGAGTATTTATATGCCATGGGTGAGGAAGAGCTTCCTTTTCAGATAGAGGAAAAAATTCCCCATTTAAGACTCGTGTCTTCTCCCTGATTGCCAGAAAAATGCGTTTCCAAAAATTGCACATGGCCTTCCTCTATCTTCTCCCTGCAATCAAAGGCTTAAGCTGAACTTGCGCCCCAATAACCCCTCCAATAAGCAAGCTCTAAACTCCAAAAGGCAGCATCTGTTCTGTATCCCCGCTGTGTGTCAGCTGACACTGTCATAAGAGCCTTTGAATCTCCTGTGACAACTGTCCTGCTCCTATATTCCTTCCCTTCCACAGTTTAATGGAAAAACAACTTTATTTTCCTTTTAAAAAAATTAAGGAACATAGTCATAAATTCACGAATATAACTTTGAAAAGCACAAATACTAATTAACTGTATGAAAGCTCAATCATTAAGATGGATATCATTGTGTATTTCAAACTCAGTTTAACAGATAAAAGCATTCTCCCATAGCATTCACTCACTTGATGCATTTGTTTCTGATTTGAGTTTCTTCCTTCCTTGACTTTGCGGCTTCTTTTTCTTCTGTTTTGCCTCTTTTTCTTTTTCATCATCACTGAAATCCAAGGCCTGGTTAAAAAAAAAAAAAAAAGGAGAACAAAGCCATATAAAGACTGCACAGAGAACTTCAGTTCTAGCAATAAATCATTATTTAGAAAACAATCCATTCTGCAGTTAGCTTAGAAGAATATTAAAGCTGCGTTTTCCTATTTCACATTCAAAGGGCCATCATGTGTTCAGCTGGCTTCTCAACACAATCAAAAACTTAATGCTCCATAAATTTCTCATAAGACAATTATACAATACTCAGTTATTCCTTCTAATTTTCCTAAAACCAGCAACATTCAAGTACTGAACACAAATTTTTGATTGCCTAGATGTTAGTAAGAAAAAAATTGGAAATCTCTGAGAGCTGGCTAGTTATCACCAAGAAAAAGCTTTCGAAGGGCAAACTGCAGACTAGGTGAATTAAAATATGGATTTTTAAAATAAGTTAAAATTAATTTGGCAACCAATACTTAACTCAGCACAGTTAAACTACCTTAAAAAAGTATCTCCATTCTAAAACTGTCACTAAATTGGAATTCTCTGTAGTATATTTAATAACACTGTTCCTGTTAAACTTGCAATAGCAATGTTATTCCAAAGGAATTTTCAGCTTTGAAGAATGTTGTCATTTACAATAGATTCGATGTCATGGCAACATTTTATTCCTGTTACACAAGGTTTTGCTACCTTTCGAATCCTAGCTTACATTTAGAATGAGGAAAAGTTATTAGCGACAGGAAAGAAATCTGTCAGCATAATTAGTTCCCTGAAAAACAGCTCGCTCATATGACTTAAAAGGGTTTGTTCCCACCCTCCCCTTCCCAATTCTGAAAGGAAGGGGTTTGCTGCTTACTAATGCATCTCTATAGTATATACAGATCTCAAAAACACTGCACTAAAACAGTGCTAAAAAAGCCACATAAAAGTTAATTCTGAATACAACTATTTCCTCTTCTACACACTAAATTATATTCTTACTCAAAAAAAGCCACAAGATGATCTATACCATGAAGTAAAATCTTTCACTAACTCCTGCTTTTTCTAAGGACTTCAATACGCCATCCTCCAGTAGAGCAGAAATAACAAACAGGTACCTTCTGTTGCTAGCTAATTTCCATGTAACATTCCATAAAAGCCGCCTCACAGAGAAATCGCAATTATGTGCTCCTGCAAGCCTTGCAGCATACAGATCACATTTTGTCATCCTATGACCCCAAAGACAAGGCTGAGAGAGATTATATTACTGAGCCTACAGTTAAGCTGGGTTAATTACAAGCCTGTCAGAAAAGGAACACTTACCATATAACTTAAAGTAGCAAGCATAAAAGGCCTAACATGGATTAATTTAACATTCATACAAAAATAAAGCTTCACAGTATCACAAAAGGAACTGACTGCAGCAATTGCACACAGTTTAGCATGGGAGCTGGCCAGAAGAGTTACGAAATCAGCTGCCAGCTGAGGGCTCTAAAAGACTGTGGCTGTAAGAGACAATTTCAAGCACCAGAGGCATGAAATTTAATCTGCATCCTTGTCAACAGCTATTACCTTCACAGCAAAAGGTACTTTCTATCAGCTCATCAGCTGTCACAGTTTGGATATCTTAAACTCTAACTGCTAGAACTATCCAAAGATTATTCTAATTAAGGATTACAAGATGTTAGATGTGGTGTTTTCTCCAAAACAGAGCACACGGACATACCACAAAGTCAGAACAGCCATGGAAACAAAGGTGTCATAAAAAGCAATCAAGTTTGCCCATCCTTGCCATCACTGATTTCGTTCAAGCTTCCTTCCTTCCTAGAGTGAACTATAGTAAACCTAAAGTTCCTCCTGTACTTTCAGATTCTAACGTGAAGGTAACAGTGTCATAATTAAAATTAAGAAAAATCATAAAAAAATAAATACCAACTTTGGAAAAAGCAAGGAATCTGTATCTGCAGAAGACTTAACTGCTTGACTGTATTTAGCCAAGTTTTAAAGTTACTTAGGTTCCTACAAATTCAAATTACACATTTACAAGCTTATCTCCTGAACAGCTTTAAAAATATAAGAAAGAAACAAAAAAAGAGCTCACCATTAGCCAATAAGCACATTTTGTATCATCATCACTAGAAAATTGTTTGACGAAAGCTAAGACTATCCAAAAGTTTCTAAGTGTACAGAGTCTTTCAAAGCTCTACTGATCACATACCTACAGTCCAATTCTATGCAACACTTCTAATACTCAAATGATGACTCTCTGTGAGATATCGTCTCCTTGAGAAAGGAAGGCAATTTACAGTCAGAACTGACAGACAAGCATTCCTTGAGAGAAGTTAACAGTGCTCAGCTCAGTTCCGTTTGTGGGAAGAAAAAAAGGTATTTCAAAATGCATCATCCTCACTATAGCGGAAAAAGCAACATTCCGGGCTGACAGACTGATACATCATTACAGGACCTATCTTCAAGCATAGAAAAGCCCGTGTCACAACATCTCTCCTTCAAGCCAGAACAACTGGCCAGGGATAAGGACTGTGAATGCAAAAATTGATACTGTCCCCCACAGCATGATACTGTCCCTCACAGTATCCTTGTGGACAAGTTGTCCAACTGTAGGATGAGCAGGTTCATGGTGCACTGGGTGAAGAACTGGCTGAGGGGCAGAGCTCAAAGAGTTGTAGTGAATGGGGCTACATCTGGCTGGCAACCGGTCACCAGTGGTGTTCCTCAAAGTTCAATTCTAGGACCAGTTCTGTTCAATATATTTATCAACAATCTGGACGCAGGAGTTGAATGCACCATTAGCAAGTTTGCTAATGATACCAAACTGGGAGGTGCTGTTGACTCTCTTGAGGGGCAAGAAGGCCTTGCAGAGGGATCTAGATAGATTGGAGCATTGGGCTATGATTAATGGGATGAAATTTAACAAGTCTAAATGCCAGATTCTGCACCTAGGACAGAGTAAAACAGGGCACAAGTATAAATGGGGAAAGGAGTGTCTGGAGAGCAGCCCTGCAGAAAGGGATCTGGGGGTGCTGGCTGACAGCAGGCTCAATCCGAGTCAGCAGCGTGCCCTGGCAGCCAAGAGGGCAAACCACATCCTGGGGTACATCAAACACAGCATAACCAGCCGGTCAAAAGAGGTGATTATCCTGCTGTATTCAGCCTTGGTGCAGCCTCACCTCGAGTGCTGTGTGCAGTTCTGGGCCCCACCATTTAAGAAGGATGTGAAGGTCCTCGAATGTGTCCAGAGGAGGGCAACAGAGCTGGGGAAAGGGCCAGAAGGAATGTCCTAAGAGGAGCAGCTGAGGACTTTGGGCTTGTCTAGTTTGGAGTAAAGGAGACTGAGGGGGGACCTCATTGCTCTCTACAGCTTCCTGAGGAGGGGAAGTGGAGAGGGAGGTGCCGGTCTCTTCTCCCTGGTATCCAGTAGTAAGACATGTGGGAATGGTTCAAAGCTGCACCAGGGGAGGTTTAGACTGGACACTAGGAAGCATTTCTTTACCAAGAGGGTGGTCAAACACTGGAAGAGGCTTCCTAGAGAGGTGGTCAATGCCCCAAGCCTGTCAGTGTTTAAGTGGCATTTGGACAATGCCCTTAACAACATGCTTTAGCTTTTGGTCAGCCCTGAATTGGTCAGGCAGTTGGACTAGATGATCGTTGTAGGTCCCTTCCAACTGAAATCGTCGATTCTGTTTTATTCTAAAAATTGGTTAGAACAAAAAAAAACCACCCAACCCACAAAAAACATCTTTCCTACTTAATTATAGAGTAAGAAGCACATACTACATAGCTTAGAACTATGCTAACTATGCAAGCTTTTGGAAGATTCAAAACAAGCACATAGATCTCTTTAGGAAACTATGGTAGACACAAGGCTTCTAGGAATTTCAGCTATTTGAATAAGATAGGCTTAAAGTAGAAATGGCAAGGAAAAGTGACTCAAGTGTCGAGCTAGAAAACAAATCTCATGAAAACACCTCAATAAAACTATCAGCCTTGCAATTCTTATTGAAGAAGAGAATAGTCATGAAAAGTATAGTTAGAGTGGAGTTAAGGAGCACTGGACAGGAAGCCTGGATGTCATTGAAGAAATCCTTATAGATCCTACAGTAAATGATGTCAACAGTAGTGAGGAACTCTCACTTCTACACGATCCTGTATGACTGCCTTTGTATGGAAGAAGCTCATCTCCTCTCACAAAATTAGTGTTTTATAATAGCAAACAGTAGGGAAATCTTACTAAGAAACCATTCAAAGAATGCAACAGAAGAGGTGTCAAGTTAATCTAACAGAGCAGACAGCTTAAACACCCAAGTAGTACAGTTTGCAGAGTACTAGCAGGCCTTTAAAGACAAACAATTGCTTGTGGCAAGGTAAAAGACAAAGCTGCAGTGAAAGAACAACAAGGACAAAAATTCCCTAGCAGAAGCAAAACTATTAGGCAAGGTAAAAGCACTGCTACTCAAAGTTCAACGTTTACGTTGCCAAACATGTTCTTGAAGGACTAGAGGAACTGAAGATACGCATTTTCCCAATTGCAAAAAGCAAGCAGAAAAAGACAGCCAGTACTCTCTACATTGACTGTGAGGCCTCTCCAAGAAAAGCATGACCTTCTTTTCAACGAAGAAAAGAGGTACATCCAACTCTTGTCTGCGTAAAAAAATAAGCTTGCTAATTAGTTACTCTGCAGAGAATTTCTTCTACATATATCTTCTGTAATCAAAAACAATAAACCAAAAAAACTTGTAGTTACTTCAGGTGGTGGTTCTTGGTCATTCTTCCAAGATGCATCTGAACCTTTCTCCCTAAAAGAAAAAAAAACAAAACAAACCACAAATTAGACAATCAAGATGAAGGAAAATGGTGTAAGGAGGCTATGAAACATCTCTTGTTTGAGTCACACAGTAGCAACATATTCCAGGTTAGAAATAACTTGCAAGAACTGTACTGTAGCAAATAGGGTAACACTTTCTTCAAGGTATCAGATCTTCTACACCAGGAGCTGCCTGTTTTAAAGAGGCATTGGTTTTTTAATACTGTTTCTAAGTGAATAGTAATGTATGTGTCAACTCAGAACTTCACTAAATATGCCACTTGAAAAACCTTCCTACTTTGAGTGAAGACTGAACATTTCACAGCTAATATTAAGCTTTGATCAATATTCTCTCAACACATCCTTTTGAACCTAAATTGCTTTGAACCTGAATTGAGACAGTTCACTGCAACTTTCTTATGCTGACTGACTGCTGACTACGGCCATAAGCTTTTTATTCTTCTGGTTTCAGAATATATATCTCCAGTTAAAAAGGAGAATGAACTAGTCTAGTAGGACACAGTCTTTAATTATAGCTATAGCGAAGTGAATTCGGAACCAAAAAACCTCTAAGCTTGGCTTACAGTTCTATTAATACAGTGTTAGCTAGATAATTAGTTTCATCTTCTATTTTGTTGTAAATATAAGATTAAAAAGCAAGGTAAGAGACATTTAAGGAAGCAAAAACTCAATCATCTTGCCCCACAAACACCAAAATGAATTTGAATTTCATTTCACCCACCACTTCAAGAACTTCACTAAAAATCAAGTAATTTCTTTGATTAGCAACAAATTTGTGGAACAAATTTAAATTATGCTGTTAAAGTCTGCGGAAGGTTTTTCCACACTGCTCGCAAATTTAACATATTTTGGTCTGAAATATCAAGACACAATCCTTATCTATGCAGACAAACTATTTAAAATAATGCAATACTGAAAATTCTTACTTGCAAAATGGAATCATATGGTGGTTAAAAACACCGTGTTAAGTGTGAAAAGTCTTCAATCAGTGCTCTAACAATCAAGGGGTTTTTTATGTATTCACCAAGTCAGCAACAATCAAGCAGCAATAGCTACAACAAAGTACATAACCATCGGCTCTAGGCAGCCTGGACTTAAGAGGCCCTTAGTCAAAGGCTGCCCATGAGAACACTGGCAAGTATCTGGAGGTACGTTGTGCCTCAACCCTAACCATAAAACTGAAGCTCAATCTCTACATATCACTAGAAAAGCATAAAAAACACACCACACCTTTGTGGTTATGAGCAAACCATGTTAACATGCAAGCCATTTTAAAGTTCAATTAGAAGAAAATATTACAGGGAGGAAAGGAAGATAAGGGCTCTATATGAGTAATTTCTCGGCTGTAGAAAACTCTCTATCTATGCAATAATGAAAAGTAACACTTTTTTTTTTTTATTATGAACCAAATTCTTTGTTTCCCCCCATCTTGTTATTTTGGGGCCTGTCAGAAATACCAGAGCACGCAAAAAACTCCAAGACCTGTGGTCATTAGGCAATATGTAGTACTACTGACTGCAAAATTTAAACCCTGTAAGTTCTTCAGGCAGCTTATCTCACTCTCCCAAGGGAGCCTTTCCCATTTCAGCAAAACACAAAACACTTTTCATGCTCTGAGATACCTAATAATCTTCTGCAAAGAACAAGATAGTAATTCTTTGATTTCTGAACTCGGATACTGTAAGACCTGGAAGTCTAACAAAAGGTGACTCAGAGGAATCATGAAAATACATGAGCTTCTTTAGAATTACTTTGTTTTTCAGGTAATACAACATAAATCTATTTTTAGCAACAAATTATTTTGCATTCAAGAAGTTTTACACTACACTCTCATTTATTTTGCTATAAAATGTAAGACTTATTCATAGCACTGCAACTTTGTACAATGCAAGCAGATTGCATGCCAGATTTCAGAAGAAGCTTCAAACTTAAGGTTTCTTTCAGATCTTAATCCCAATTCCTTTCCTTTTCAAAGTACCATCATAGTTTTGAGTAGCAATTCTAAAACTTTAAGCCTATAATACTCCACAAGCTGGTGTGCACAAAGTCAAACTAACAAAAAGCGGAAAATAAAAATCTTTGGTCATCAAATTTGCAATCTGCTAAGGTCCAAAAGCCTTCTTGTGAAGCACTGACTGAAGCTCAACTTTTCTACTATCCATGCCATCTTGGTTTCTTTATATAGACATTACAGCACAGATCAGATATCAAAATTCTTTATCCTTTTTCAGTGACACCTACTTTGTGAAAAGACAGCTTGAACAAATAGTACTAATTGCTTCACAAAAGCTTAAAAACCTTTAAGGACAAAACTCAAATAAAATATTGTTTCCGTGAAATGTAGTAAGTCACATTATTCAGAAATTATGGTTTACGTCAAATTACACAGGTGTTCACACTACTCATTTTAATGCAGGGCAAGAAACAATGTCTGAGGCACTGTTCAGCTGCGCTGATAAGTCATGAAAGTGTGAAACATCTTACCTAGTGTTCAATTTTGTACCATATATGATAGTAAAGTACTACCAAAAGACAAATAGTTCCCAAAACTAGTTGCAAAGCATGTAATAAACTAAAACATGAGTCTCATGCCTCAGATGCTGAGTACAGCACAGAGTTATTGATGTAGCAAGCAGATGATTAAAGTCTGTGCAGTTACTGTGCTAAGCAACAAAGTTTAATGGCGCAAATCAAAGACCAGCTGGCATCAAAATGCTGCAGAAAAACAAAGAAGCAGCAGAGTAAGAAAGTGATCTATTTTGGTCTTCACTGAAAGGAAAAAAAAAAATGCTTGTTGCTTCCACAGAAATGGGAAAGGAAGGAAAAAAAGACTCCTGCAGGCCTTGCCACATGCACAGCTAAAAAAAATTATTCAGTATGAATAGTGGTAGAGTTGCAATTAATGCAGACACCAATATTATTGGCTATAGTCAGAAAAAAATTTGCAAGTCAGATGAGAACTAATTCTAATGAACAAAAACTAAGTAGCTTGCATGACAAAGAACTTTTTTAACCTACAGTTATTTCAGACAATTATTCATCAATAATTACAACACTAATGTCTAGCAGTCATTTATTATGCTTTATTTCTTATTCTGTATCTTTGAGTACACTTCTGTTTAAATGGCAACAAGTCCTATTTATACATGCTACTTTCCTCAGGCAGTCTGGAATACAGAAATACTATTGAGAAGTTTCTGAACATCATACTACATTGCCACTCAAATCCCTCCCCTCTCCCAAATTTACAGCAGGTAATTTCCATATAGAATCATAGAATCATTAAGGTTGAAAAAGACCTCTAAGATCATCGAGTCCAACCGTCAACACAACACCACCATGCCCACTAAACCATGGCCCTAAGCACCTCATCTACACGTCTTTTAAATACTTCCAGGGATGGTGACTCCACCACTTCCCTGGGCAGCCTGTTCCAAGGCCTGACCACTCTTTCAGGAAAGAAATTTTTCCTAATGTCCAGTCTAAATCTCCCTTGGCGCAACGTGAGGCCATTTCCTCTCATCCTATTGCTAGGAGTTGTTATTCTCCAACTGCACAATAGATTTATTGATAATTAAATTTCAGTTCTGGCCTTGTAACATGAAATAAAAACAGTAAATAAATACAAACTTGTTCAGAATTCAAAACAAGTTTATTTTAAGTTATGAAACTAAACAAGAATCTGCAGAACAACACTATCTGGAAAGTTCAGCTTGCAAAACCCATCCATGTGTATGGGTGTGTAAGGGTGTGGGGGAGGGAAGTATCAATGAATTTTTTCCTGGTTATGATATTTTAGATAACACAGCAACATGAAAAGAAAGCAAGCTTAATACATTAAATTGACTAAGAAGCTACTAAATTTTATTATTATAACAGTTTAGAAGCTTGTAGTTTACAGCTACCTGTACTGTTCTGAAAGCCAAAACAGTACAACACTTGTAATTACAACACAGTTGAGAGTATCTAAAAAAAGAAAAGTTTTAGTGTCAAGCTTAGTCCTACAGTTTCTCACTCAAGGCTAAACTTTAATCCAGGATTTTTAGCTATATGAAAAAATACATTATAACCAGATTAGAAAAGAAGTCAGACTCACTGTTTTAGTTTCTCTGCAAATATATACTGGGTGAAGTCCTCCAGTGATGGAGCAAAATACATGCTATCTTGCACATTAATACCTTTTGCTTTGATATGCTCAGAGCTGTTGAATCTTAACACATAAAAGGGATGTAAAACAGGACCAAATATCTCAAATATCTGAAACACAAACAAAAATAAAATATTTAAATAAACCATCAAGACTAGATAGCTAATTTCATTGTAGACAACCATGAAGCTTTAAGATGCTTTGTATTTAAGAAGTTTGATATATTTCCAAAATGCAGCATGAAATAAAGTTACTTTTATACTTTAGTTTTATCACCACATTTTGCTTAACAGTATTATTTCCCCAGCTACTGTTTAATTCGTAATGTGGAAAAGTAAGTTCTCACATGTTGATGTTCGCCCATCCAACTGCACTGCTTTCACTGTCTGCTTCCTCTATTTTAGTAATCTTTCCTTTTGTCAAATCTCTATTCTTCTCTCCCCATTATGCTTTCAAATCTCTTACACCTGGAACAATCTCCTGATCGTTTACTCCTCAAAGTTCATCTTTACAAGATACCTTTACGTCAGTTCCCCTGTCTTCTCCCCAATTCCATGGAAAGCAGAGAATTCTGAAATGTTGTACAGAACAGCTGCAATTTCAGGCTGTGGTTTTTCGTTTCACTCACATCTAGCATTCAAAGATATTACAGTAGTTCTAAATGATAGTTTTCTTCCCCAGAAAACATACAAAATGGAATGCAACACCCCTCTCAGCAAACATTCTTCATTATACTTGCATAAAGCACACACTAGCCTTAAACTGGAACAGCAGAGCATAGATATTTAAACATTCCCCATTTTTCCTGAAACTTGACTCTAATCAATCTTTGCCCCCAACTCCTGGCAATAAAAGAGCACAGCCTGTTATTCAAAACATCATACATCTGAAAGCAACCTCTCCCTCCCCACAAGCACTCTCATAAAATAGCAGAAACTCATCACACATTGTAATTCTGTAAGGATGCAATTAATTCCAGGTTAAGAATTCTTGAGATTAAAAAAATAGATTACTATAGCAAGAGCCAAAAGCACAAAGAAAAACTACATATCGAGGAAACATTATCTTTCATTTAGTCGACTTCAACACTACTTGTTGGAACATAAAAGAATATTTTTAATTTTGTATTAGAATAACAGGTTTTTATGCTTTACACATACCTTTCCTGCTGCTTGCCGATCTTCTTTAAAAATTATGCTTTCCTCATTTACTGGAGGTAGGCCTCTCAGTGATTCAATTATTACTAAAACGGAAAAAAAAAAATCAATTAGAATTTATGTTTCAACAGCAGTATGTAGTTAATTGCAGAGAAACTTAACAAGCCAATCCATTATTTGTCTACTAAAGTTCATAGAGCTTCACCTGAAAATTCTCGCGCACACACAAAACTACTTACAATTGTACACCCCTTCTCCAGTGACATATGAGTGGTAAGATTCACGCTTGTTTACAGAATTATTGTTCTCTGGGGTGGAGAAAGAAAGGAGACCAGATGATAGGTACAAAAGAGAAATCTCAGATATGTATGTGTGGGATACCCATTGTATTTACCTGGGATGTTTCTTAATTAAGTGCATAGCAACAATAACCTGTTTTTCTGAGTGCAGATATATTCTGCCTTCTTAGTATTCCAAATGAAATTTTCCTCGGGAAAAAAGAATGGAGATGGCTATTCATTACAGCTTCCCCTAGTAAGTCATAAGAATCAGACCAGAACACAAAAGATGTCTGGCAGTCCAGTCACAGTAGCAACTGGTGGTGTCATTTATGTATGCAGATACACAATTTGAAATACATCTCTGCAATTTAATGTCATATAATAGTCTCATACTACATTTGGCCCTAATCCATGATTAATGATGGTATGAGTGGTCAGAGCAAGCAAGTCATTCCAGTAGCTCAGAATATGAAATCTTAACACTTAGTAGACTTAAACCCTTATAAATGGACACAAAAGCATGTTCTTCCACCATTAAATACATAATCTGATATACAGGCAACTTCATTTTTAGGTTTTCCAGATTCAGAGACATAGAAAGCTTATTCTTTACTGAAATCTTTAGAGTAGCTCACTCTCTTCTTTGGCAGGAGTTCACATTTGTTGCTTTCGTCTACAGAAATACCAAGTCTTCCTTTACATTCAGCAGAAATTATGCGTAAACCTGCCAGTACAGAGGCCTAGCAGCATTACACTCAAATTCTGATTCTGAAGGTAATCTTTTCTACCTCTAAAACAACAGAATGCTCAATTAAGCATTCTCAATGCCTCTCCATCATCAAATAAAGTCACTCAAGCACTTAAGTGTCACTCAGACTCCAACAAAAACTAACAAGATTATCACTGCTAAACTTACATAACAGGACTTAAAGCAATAAACATCTCACCAAGCTAAAACTCCAGCTCCGCTACTATTTCAATCTGCAAACATGTTATGACATGCCAAGAAAGCCTATGACAATGCCACAGGCTTAATAGTTCTTTGAATTTCAGGACAAGTAGGGAAATCAGTTTATTTTGTGCCTACCTATAAGATAAAATACACAGTGAAAGAACCCAATGTTGCTTAACCCTCATGAGAAAAATACCTTAACCAAAAAAAAAAGCCACCAACAAAAAACCCAAAACAAAACACAACAACAAAAAAACCACACATCAAAAACTCTCAGAGAATGCTCTCAACTTGATTGATCACACATAGCCGCCAGTCTTCATAGAATCATTAAGGTTGAAAAAGAC